TTACAAACTTGCGCATTATCTCCTTTGATTGATCGATTTCGCAAATACAATATTTCTAGGTCATTATTTAGTAATGTAAATCAACTTATTTTACATATATTGTGTCGTATGATTTCAAAACCTTAGATGTTTTGACTAATATTTGTGATTATTTTAAACTGTACATGTTTGACTAACAATATATGAAATACTGTGAACATATGCATGCCGACATGAATTGAGATTTAGATGGAAATTGTTAGGTAATCCCCCGTTCTGTGAACATATGCATGCCGACATGAATTGAGATTTAGACGGAACTTGTTAGGTAATCCCCCCTTCTTAAATATCTGTAATTTTATATAGTTATTTTTGTTCAATAATATCTGTCGTTTAATGAAATCAAAGCATAATTAATATTTTTTCTTCCAAATTTACCTTTAATTTTTCAATGTATTAGATTTGGTGGAGGTTAAGTGTTTTTTATATTCTTTTTCTTCCCAATACATATTGAATAAGGGTATTTTAGTCTTGTGCAATTATTTTTTACTCATATTAGAGTTATTTAATAGTTTTTTTAATTCTTGTGTAAAAACCTTAAACGACAGATATTTAGGAACATGAGAGTACTTACTAGGATACAATGAGCATTTAATTATGATTATTAACGATTTATTGTGATCTTGAATAGTTTTCTTAATCACCAACTTGCACGCATCATTCTGTATGCCACGTTGAACGAGTTGGAACAGATTTAATAAAGCAAGAAGACCGGAAGGGGTAAGATTGACTCTTAGGGCTGTTTGGTTAATTTTTTCGGAGGGATTTGAATTGACTTGTCCAAATTTTTCAAAACTTAAACCCCTCTTTATAAAGATGAGATTCAATATTTAATTTTGTTCATACCAATGTTTAGTATGCGCGCAGATACATCACTATTATGATAATATATTTGTATATAAATGAATATAGTGCCCCTTAACTAATCTAATCCAAATTCATGTTTGTATACATACATTTTCTTGTATCCAGATGATTTTAATATTTGATTATTTAATTATTTGGGATATATGGGTTATATGAGAATATAAATGTCATTTTGTATGTTCAATCTTTTAAGCCCCATATGAAACCCACCCCCCTCCCCCAATCGGGTTTCATGAAACCCATGAACATGGGTTTAAATTGTGGATCTAAAGCGGGCTTGGTTTGATAACCTAGACTAAAATTATAGTTGTCAAATATGAGTTTGATGAGTTTTATAGAGTTTTATTTTCAACCCATCTTCCAAATCTGACCTTGTCCCACGTACCAAACGGCCCTTAGGATTTCGTTTGAATGAGAATGGCCTTTTGGGATGCTGAAATAACTTATGCGAGTCTCGTTCAAACTTCCTTTCATTAACGTTCAAATGAACCTTACTGCTCAAATTAGATTGGATCTTGTTCAAATGAGATGACATATGCGTTATCATTTTTGTCACTTTTTTGTTATATTTTTAATTTTCAACTTCAACTAAAATTTACTATTATAAATAATTGTTGTTCGAATAATGTTAGAATAGATAACTCATATTCAAAGTATGACGAGTTACTTCAGGCCCAAGTGGATAACAGACCAGTTGTCGGAGTGTGAGCTAATTTGCACATGTATGAAGGATGCCCTAATTAAGGTTATAATATATATATATATATATAAGTTAAATTATAATATTAATTCAGTATGGAATAAAAACAAAACAACCACTCTAGGATGGTGAACAAAGACAAATTGTCGAATCACATAAATTCTTATATTCTTTTTCTATTATTCTGTATTGATTGTTAATCACACACACAAATCACAACAGACAGCCAGACATTATTCACTTGTATTCTAGAGTTTTCTCATGATTCCTCTATGTTGATTACAATTGTTATAATTGAAAGTGGATACAGCACAAAGCCAGAGCTTGGCTTGTGACAATGTCAATGACATGGATAGAATGAATTTTTATTGAAGCCATAAACATTCATACATGGTCTGTGAAGTTTAAAGACTACTGCACCTATTGAATGCAAAAATTTTCAATTTGTCATCATTAACCTGCCATTTGTTTCTACATATTGACTTTAAATTTCAAAATTCTAAGCTCTAACAATAATTAAGCTATCACTACCGTATTAAAGAGGGCAAGTGCAAATGTCAAAGAGGCGAAAATATTGAAGGTAACGACGATACCATTTATTATTATTATCATGTAAGCAAGTTGACCACCTTATTTTAGTAAGTGAAATTCATAAATAAAATTTTGTTATTGAATGGTGATATCATGAAATAATGATAATATGGTGTCACCGTTATCTCTAATATTTACCGGTCAAAGAGAATGTATCCAAGTCATCAAATTGAACGTTTATTTTGCCACTCATTTAGCCAGTTGAAACGGCTTTCGACCTTAAAGGATTATGCTGGGATCAACAAGTCATGGCGACTTAATGATCATAGTCCAGAACAAGAACGACAAGGGGAATAAGGTTCAAGCTTTCTTGGTCATTCTAGAATGTAGCCATTAAATTGTTTTGACTTGTGGAACTGATAATCAATAGTGAGAGAAATAAAGGGTCTGATCCGGTATCCAAGTGTCACTTTTAAGTAATCGTTTCTTATTTTTCATTCAATAAAATTCTGACATATATAAAATATGTTATTTTATTATCATTTATTACTTTACCAGTTTTTCAATCAATAATCAAGGTCTCGTTTGATAATGTTTATGTTTTTCGTTTTTTTTTAATATTTAGAGAAAATAAGAAAAAAAAACTTGTTTGACAACCGTTTTTTTTTTTTTTTTTCTGTCATTGTTTTGTAAACGAGGGACAATTTTTAAAAACGAGAAAAAGACATTTTTTTGTTTTTTAATTCTATTTTTCGTTTTTTAGAAATCAAAAATCGTAGACGTTACCAAACGAACAACAAATTAGAGATGAATTTCATGACCATACCGTAGCCTTATCCTAGACATAGAGAACCATATATATGCAATTCTGAAGTCCCTGGCCTGTGCGTATGGAGATACATACTACTGGAGTCTTGTGGTCCTTGTCACATTTTTTTTTTTTGGTTTCCATGGTTACGGTGTCTAGGTCAGCTTATGCATATCACAATTAATTATTTTTTCGATTCAATCAAAGATCAACCGTCCATATCAAAATTAAGGTATTTATAAGAGATAAATACCTCATAACTTGACCTAAGGACTCGTCAAAATTTTTGTGGTTCAACTGGGGGAAAAAAGGAGTATATTTACTCTTTAGCATTCAGAGTGCGCGATTGGATCTTCGTTTTGGTCCCGACGCAGGTGTAATAGGGTCTCCTACACATAGCGATATAGTGCTGAAGGACAATACTCCCGGACGAATATGTAAAATGACCTATCTCCATATCTATTGTAACTTGTGTCTAATTTACATTACATATAAAATTATCAACCAAATATATTTAACTAAATTATATTTTTTAAACATTTCAAGTGAAAGGGCGAGAAGCAATATTGAATTGGTGTGTAGGCTTTTTGGCTCATGTGCAGATTTAATTACTTTGTTTGGTCATGCTCTGTGAAGGAACACACCAACATAATTCCACAGACTTCTTACTTCTCTCGAAACTGTTCCACAATGAGAAAAGTATCTTCTTACTTCGTTGTCATGAACTTAATTTCCCAACAACTACCTTCCCTTCAATAAACTAGCCATGCATGTAAACATTAATATTCAACACATAAAATCAATTTCCTTAAGTACCAACCATTGTGTAATTCTCAAACTTCATTCCCCCATTACCTTTGCTTTAAAACTTATTTCCAAACTTTCATAATTTTCACAAAAGCGTGCTTTACACAGATTATTTTTACTACAAAAGCGTATTTTCAAAGTAAACTTCCTCATTTTTCTACTAAAAGCATATTTTGTTGAAAAACGTGAAATTGTATCATGCTTTTTGTAAAAAATTACATCAGATTGGAAAATAAGTTTGCAAATATTGTAATAAAATAATTAAGTTTAAAAAAACGTGATACTTTTTAAGAAAAAAACTCCACAAGTGGATTACGTATTAGAATTTTTCTATAGTTCAAATTTTCTGGAGATATGGATTTAGGTTTACCAGGGCTGCAATCGATCGTTAGGCTCAAAATTTGATATGGGGCACAATTGATTTTGAGATCATGCAGCCCTTGGTGGGTGAGCCCAAGTCTACCAATTTCGAAGATATCATGATGCCTTGGCTTACAAGGCTGCATTGGAAATGAAGGAATAAACACTTAAAACATGATGGATCAAGTAGAGACGTCACTCCAAAAGAAAATTTCGATAATAGGAAAGCAGGAAATTTACTATACATACTTTTGCATTGACAGACATTTCATTTATTACAATGTAATGTGCAACGATTACGATTCAATATAGAACAAGATATGATAACGTAAACTTAATTAGGACATATAATTTAACGTACCTGTACGTTTATGAGACATCAAATTACGACGAATGTGCATTGAATTACGGTCGCATAAAACTTAGTTACAAGTGCCTAAGAATTATGATCTTAACTATAACTTATTATTTCTTTCATAACAAAATTCGTTTGTCATTACTCTCCTTTTTGCTAACACCAAGTCGGCTAAGTCACTCTATGCTGACCAAAAAATTTAATCTCCGGCGGTATCTACGAGTAAATTCCAACCCTATGCAGTTTGTTTTTTTCCCATTCAATTCCTGTGGTCGTCTTTGATTGCTTCTTCTCCTTTTTCCCTTTTTGTTCACTTTTTTTTTTATTGAACTATTTATTTTTGTCTACAAATTAGAAATGTGTGGTACCAGTCTAATGTTCTATCTGCTGCATTAAAGTCCCCCTTTTTCTCTTCCAAGTTCACACACTCATTTGGGGTTGGCCTTCTCTTTCCTCCTCTATATAAATTCCTGTCATCACAGGCTCTTCCCTCTATCTCTATATCTTTAAGCAGCAACCAAAAGATAAAAAAAATGTCTAAAGTCACCGCCCTGTTGATCGTAGCCCTCCTCTGCGTAACTATGTCATCAGCCGCCGCCCGTCCTGAGCCGGCATTTCCTGATACAAACTTGGTCAAAACCCAACAGGAGGAGGTATGTTCAATGATCAATTTTTTTTGTTTTTGGTGCATAGTTTTAGTTAGGTCAGAGAAACATAAATGTTTTGAGAAAGTTTTAGAAACGTTCCAAAACACTGAAACAAACCAAAACTCCTCCAAAGATAAAAGCAAAACGTTTCTGTAGCTTCGGTATAAACGAAACGAAATTTTTATCCCAGTAAGTAGACAAGGTTTGTATGAGAATTTAGCTGTATGATTCTTTTAGGGATTTTATTTAATTGGAGTTCTGTTTTCGTTTTCTTCCAGGGTACTGTTGGAGCTCAACATGTTGAGGTGGTGGATGAGAACTGCGAAGGAGTTGGTGATGAAGAGTGTTTGATGAGAAGGACCTTGGCAGCTCATATTGATTATATCTATACCCAGAAGAAGAATCCATAGAAATTTGTGTTCATTAGCTTCTTAATTATAAATCGTATAATTAAGATATGTTCATTTTGCCATTTAGTTTCTAAGGAGGGGCAGTTTACTGGATGATAATCTTACACTTGTTCTCTTGGTTAAATGGATGATATTACTTTGTCGTATCATACGAACGTCGGCATGCTTTGTTGGTAACAAAAGGTCTTTGGTCCAAAGGTCTTCTTTGAGGTTCAAGTTTTCTTATCTTTCATTCCTCTCCCAAAAAAAAAAAGTATGCGTTGGTGGTACCACCGGATCTTTGATTCAAAGATCTCTTTGTCTTATGAATGATTTGTCCTCTTAAGATTAAGGGTTTAAATTATCTTTCCTTTCTCCCCCAAAAAAAAGGCTTGCAGTGTTGGGATGGAGGAGCATTGCCGGGATTCTGTTGATAGTAGAGGATTACTTTTTGATTTGTTTTGTTATTTGAACTTAATTTGCCAACATAGTGCATCACAATCATTAAATTAACAGCAAGTTTTAATAATTTTTGAGGTTCATGACTATCAATCGATGCATTAGGTTAATAAATTATATCAACAAATTAGATCTAAATAATTTAAAAAAAAATTAATTCCTTTAACCAAAAACTAAGGAGTAAAATTAATTCTTACCATGCGAAGAACTGATGCCAAAGTCCTCCAATCCGTCGTCTTGACCAACTTTATTCTAACATAAATGGAAAAGAGAATAATGAATGGAATCTTCTGCAATCTGTAAGTCTAGTCAATAACTCTTCTTTTTATTTCGTTGGTATCCAAGCAAAACCTCTCAGGGAAACTACTGTGCAGTCAATGAAAATTAATGCTCGGGGCAAACCCAAGTTGACAAATTATCCCAATGAAACATTAATTTAGAAGAGTTTCCCTTAGTTGAATTTTGAAAAATTATAATAATTCTAATTAGAGTATCTCCAACTCACCGTTATAATAATTATGGCTTTCAATCGATTGCATTCACCGTGTGACCGATCATCCCAACCACTCGAAGGGAAAGCTGCTAGACAATTGTATGTTATAATATAAAAAGAGAAATATTATTTGTTGATATCCAAAATATGTTTAAGGTTGAGCTCGGAAGGTAGGCTCATACTTTTCCGACTAAAGACACATAGCTTGCCCTTGATTACTATGAAGCTCCAGGTCGACATCTTTTCTTCAGCAACTGCACCTCTACTAATACGGCACAAATGACAACTGACGTTCACTAAGCGTCGTAAGGAAAAAGAGTCGCAATTGTTCAGCACCCACCACTGTCCTTGTGCAACCGTTAGAATAGATAGGCAGAAATCATGCGATGGATTAGGTGAGGCCTTGAGCCAACTATAAATAGGAGGCATGACTCCCTCAAATGAAGAACAAGTCACTGTAATGTGAACCAATATTCTATAATTCCTTTTTTGATCAATATAAATCTCAAGAGTAAGACACTCCCTGAAGAGTGGATTAATAAAGCTTCGAAACTGATGAACCACTATAAATTCTTTATGTGTCAATTCATTTACCCTTGTCCAAATTTTAAAAGTCTAGGAGTTTAGACTGAATTACTCAGTGCCCATTAATTTCTTATTTCTGCTCTATCGTGTTACATACATCATCATTATTTATACTTAATTTGAGATGTAATCAATTACAATTATTACATTAAAAGAAAACTCTGTTTCATAACTAATTCATGAAAGAAATTAGTTTCCTAATGACGTCCTCAAATTAGACATGAATGCGGAATATAAAAAAGGGTACATCTCCATTGTTAAGGTACACTTATTCATGCTCTTTATTAAATTCTGATCTTCATTTTGTCCTACTAACCATTCTTTAGAGGAACTGCTGGGTAAATTTCCCCGTCAACACTATCAATATTCATAAAATCTCAGTCAAATGGCATTTAATGCAAATTTAAGGAGAATTTTCAAACACGAAATTAAGCATAAGACTTTGCGTATTTCTTCTAGAACTCCCTACTTATCCATTTATTTAGGATTGATATATAGATGGTAATTACTAATTAGCAACAGAATTAAACGAGAAAAAAAAAAAAAAAAAGAGTGATAGCAAAAGTTCCATGTCCATATATATAGCATCAGCATTTTGCATCCACTGGTTATGCTTTAAAGAATTTAATGGTAAACAACTACCTTTTCCCATTCAGTTGGGGAAGTTAAGAAACAAATTCCAGAAGTCACAGGGCAGGATGATGTTGACCAGGGTGGTTGACGGTTGTGTTATTTAATTGCTTAGTATTATATGTTGGAATTTCGAGGTAGTTTTGTTTTTGTTCTATTTGTAGACAAATTTTTATGATGATATCAGCTGACATTGATAACGTAACATTCACTCTTATTTATAACGCGCTACAACGATCCGTGGTGTCTGTGTGCACCACATAATCTTCTGATATGTAAGGTTCAATTTGCTGGCATTCCGGCATCAAAGTAAAACAAGGCTTTTTCACCTCATAAGAAGGTGATGGTTTCTTGATACTTTTCTAATGGGATTGTTGCAGATCAGAATTTAATGCAGAAAAATAAAAATAATAGTATAATATGAATGTGATACAAACACAAACATAGTACAACACACAAAATGATTAAATTCTCTATTTTTTCTACCAAAATTTTTTAAAAAATAAAATAAAATAGTACTCCAGAATGCCAACACCCATGACCGAACTTAGTTATGGGCTTCTTACGATGTATTGATGTCTACGGATCTTGATATTGCTTTGCTTCATCCAACCTCTTTCTCTATCCCTAGGTATCTACCACCTCTTGCAAATCAAAATGGGTAGTTAAGGAGCTGCCCCGAATCAAGTGGACTGAGTGCTAACTCCTGTCCCTTGCTAGGCTCAAATACGTGTTCTGCCAACACCCACGACCCAACTCAGTTGTGGGCTTTGTGCGCTGCAGAAAGGCCTTCCTAGGCCCAAATAGGTGCTCATTTTTCAGGGCAATATACGTAACTAATTGATGAGCCCAAACCCAAATCCTATTAAGTTCTACGTTAGCCGAAACAAACAGTAGGAACTCCGAAACCTTTTCATTGTTTTTTTTTGGGAGAATTACATCCGGACGCTTTGTTATTTAATGATTTAAGCTCTTTGATATTTAAGATATTATATAAACTCCCTAAAATTTGTACACGTGTAATACTTAGACTTCTGTCGTGTTAGTTTATCTTTTAGTAAACTACACTCAAACCTCTTAAATTTGTAAGCATATAATATTTAGGTTATTTAGTTTAAAATATGATAATTAGGCAAAAAATATTTCAATCAAAAATAAAAAATTAGATTTTTTCTTTAAAAAATTATAATTAGTCTATTATTATACTATTATATTATATTATTATATACATGTTGTTGGCCAAGTTTTACAGTCATATTTGATTTTTTTTTTGTATGTAACAATATCACAATACTATAATACAAACAATACTTTACAATTTAATCAATTTATTTGACAAAAAAATAGAATAATATATTTAGATGTGCAAATATTCAAAAATAATAATTTTACAATAACTCTTTTATTAGTAGCATTTCACTTCTAAATGTTTATAGACTTATTTATTAGTAATACACATTCATACAATTTTATATCTATATTTATATCTATTTATGTAAAAAATTAAAGTCCAATCTATATTCTAATATTATATACATGTTGACAGCTTGAATTTTACTATCAAACATATATCGCATTTGATTTTTTTTTTGTATGCAATAATATCATAATATTATAATATAAACAATAGTTTATAAATATTGAAAAATGACAATCCTACAATGAAATTATACAATAAACAAAAAAAAATGTTTAAAGAAGCTGGAAAGATACTTAAAAAAATGATAAATTAAGTATTCAAAGACGGATATAATAGATCAATAATTATGTTTAATAATTAATATATAATCTAATTACTTGACATACAATTTATGATTCAAATAAATTATAAATATTAGTTAAATTTGTTATAAAAATTATTATTTAAATATATTCACGTACAACGCACATCGTGCATTGCTAGTAGATATAATATCTTATATCTTTAACTGAGATAATTTGATTGTTTAATAGATTTTGTTAGTTCTATAACTAATAAGTGGTTTAAGTATAATATTTTAAACTTGAGGAATATAATTTATTAACAAATTTAATAATGGACATTGACAATAGGGATTTAAATGTTATGTGTACAAATTTTAAGGTGTTTGAATGTAATATTTTAAATGTTATGGGGGTATTAAGTGACAAAACGGTCGGGACGTAATTCTCCCTGTTTTTTTGTTCTATTCTTTTCGTAAATTAATCTGAAACCTGGGCTGGGCGGACTTAGACAGTCGAAATCGCAGCGGCAATCGCCGACACTCTTATTACTCTCTTGAAGGCCTTCAAAGATGTTCAATCGAAGAAGGTTTCTTTCGTTACCCATGGTCGTCGGAGCAGTCGTGTAAGCTTCTTTTTTCACCTTTTCTGCGTATCTACCTATCTATCCATGTAAGTACACACACACACACAGAGTTATGAATTCACTCGACGCTACTGAACTAGGGCTCACAATAAACACTTATCACGAAATATTAGACATTCCATTTCGGAAATGTCCTTATGATCACTCACAGATATACTATGTCTGTATATATTACTAGAATACTATGTTCTTATCGATATGTTTGTGTGTGTGTGTGTGTATACACTCCTTGTTCTATATTTTTGAAAATTTTGCAAATATATGGAAGTTATATGATTTATACATCTACATTGTGTACTCGCATAAGTCAACAATTACGCTTCCGTCCCCAATTTCTGTAATAGATTGGTGTCTTATACCCATCCTCAACTGTGATCTGTGTGACTATTTTAAGCGAATCAGGAGGCAAGGAATTTGGAAAATTTTTACTGGTGTGCTAAGTCCTGCAATGTGATAAATGTGACTACATAACCTAACAAGAGGAACGAATGCAGGATGTTTGTGGTGTTACTTGATTGAAAAATTACTTTTCCGTGTTAAGAGCAAAATTTTATAATATGGGCATTTGGCCATGAGACTGATACTGCTAAAGGGTTATGTCAGTCTCCTTAAATAACAATATGTGGAGAATATGGATGTTGAAAGACCGTGTTACAATGCGAATTGGAAATGAATTCCTGATAAGATTGGAATTCTGTTAGTTGACGACAATGATTGGGTTGTTCCGTAATATGATCCAATTTTGTTCAAATTGAATGTAATTGGATGAAATGTGAGGACAATGTAGGCTGAAGTGCTAGAAGGTTAAGACAAATATCAAAATGAGTGTGTTGAGGCAGTGAGAGAGACAAGGTGGCAAATCACACTAGGATTTTGGCTTTCAACATAGCAAAAACTGAATTTGAGTTCTTATAAAAAAAAAGTGCTGAATGTTGAATTTAAATTGCATAGCTGATCCCATGGAGTTATGATACGAAGGTTTTGGTGAATTTACTTTTATAAGATTCTCCATCGCATAAAAATCAGGTTAAGATCAAGTGTCTGTACTAATTTCATAGTTCCATTTTTTCGGCTGGATTCCTTATAGTTAAATAGATGATATGTGTCTAATCTCAGCTTTCTTGTTTACATTTACTATTCTGTGGTTCGAACAATTATGTTATTAAAATGTAATCTTTATTGTTGCTTGGTTCTTGTTTACATTTACTATCCTTTGGTCCAAACAATTATGTTATTAAAATGTAATCTTTATTGCTGCTTGGTAATGCAGACTCATGATTGTTTATATGGTTACCTAATTTCTGAAAAGGATTGGCTTGAAAGCTGCATGTTGCAATATAGGGTTGCAGAACATCAATTAAAACCCCTTCACGAACAACAATGTTTTTTTTTTTTACTTTACACAGAGGTGCAGTTATCTTAATAGGAGCTGAAATGGTATGTAAATAAAGCCTTTTGGCATACTTTTGTCATGAAAGGTGGCACAATGGACCGTAGAATGGTACAAATAAAATCATGTCAATATAAGGTATCCAGAATAGCAGTTAGCTCAAGACACGTGTATACCTTGACTACGAAACAGAAATAGAAATAGAGTGGAGCTCAGGTTAAACTTAACTTTGTTGATATGTTGTGTCCAACCTGGAAGAAATGAACGATGCTGCTCTTTTCGCAGTTGCCAGTTGGTAAAATTGTGATATAAACACTGCATTGAAATTGCATCATATATTCCACTCTATGGAGGTTGATTTTTTTCCTGAATTGATATGATATGTTGTAACATATTCTTTATCACAATGTTAAATGGGTGTAGGATAGGAGTTGTTTCTGGAAAAGCGATATTTGGACCACCACTTGATGAATACTGGAAGAAGAAGCTTCAGGAAGAGGCAGAAGCAAAGGAGAATGATGCAAGCTCCACTTAAGAAGATTTTAGGCAAATTCTACCAACTTGTGGTTCCCCCTGTAAACCTCTTTCACACTCGTTTTCTTTTTCCCAAAGGAAGCTACACTGTGACGAGGCTGATAAAAAATTCTGTCTTCAGCTGCTTATGTGCAAGGATAAGACTTATCCAATCTTTCTGCTCTATCCAGTTGTTTTGAAGTACATGCGTACAAGCAATTTCCCAAAGGAATACTGCTGTCAAACCTTGCTGTCATCCTCTAGTTAAGACCAGGATAGTCCTCTCTCTCTCTCTCTCTCTCTCTCACACACACACACACACACCTTTTGCATCTGCCTTGTGACTGCTGGATGGAAAATGTTATAATGTAGGTAAATAACATATTTCATCTCACTATGTCATAATGTGCAAAATTCTCTTCCCGTCTAGTGAGACATCATCTAAACTGATTTTCATGAAAGCTACCCACTGAAAATCACTTTTCACTGTAAACTAGGAAGAGATAGATGTATACAATATTACTGTCGTGTGGAGAAGCAACTGTTTCCCTGACTCAAGCACAACATTAACTTCCTTAATTCTGCTGATGAAATGAAACCATCTGAATTAGGATTTACAGAGCTATCACACAACACAAGGGAAAAGAATCTTGTGAGGTAGATCACAAAAATCTACCCGAGTCTAGGAAACTAATACTGAACTACTTAATTTGGCGCCAAAATCCAAGGGCCGTTCAATATGTGCAAACACAAAGAAAGACAAATTGTAACAACAGCAGAAGATTTTCCAGCAACATATCTGTGAACTTCGAGTCCCCGATCAGCCAGCTCCTCATGAACAAAAGTAAGACTATTTCTCAACCCCTCCGATAGTTTTTCCAGCAAAAACTCCAGGAAAGATCTAACCGTTTAAAAAATTACACTTCCAGTTACATCAAGAACAAACCTACAATTGCTCGGTACTGCTAGAGTAGAAGACATCTTGCTCAATCACCCACCATCCTGATTTTCATCCAGTGATCTTCTATCTTGCACTTCAATAGATGTTGATTAATGCCTATCAACTTCTTGCCTAACACAATTCCCACCTTGTCGAAAATCAACGGGTAAAGAGGAAAAATTCGAGTTAGCATTCGAATATGTATTTGTCAGAACTTGATGAGAAGTTTTGACAAGAGTTTCTACTGCACCATTACAAACCGATGCCAATGTTTCTCTCACTTGCGCTTCGTGTTTAGGATTAGCCAATCCGGAAAAGATTTCGTGGTAGGGGTTGATATTCATTGTCTTGTCCAGATAAACAGCAACTGCAGTGCCCACAAACAATTGGATGCAATCCCCAATAAGCTCTCTGCACTTATCGTCACATACCAAATCAACCCATCTTGGAACAGGATGGGATTCCAAATTAAAATGGTCGAAATTTGTCGAACCATTCAAGTTTGATCCCCCACCATACGAAAAGAATGCCATGACCAAGTTTCTGGCCAAGCTCCCAACAACCACAGAAGCAAAACCAGACCCATTCGTAGAAAATAATTTATCGAAACCCAGTCGAAGAACGGTAGATCGCCACCCATTGAACCACCACTACTCGATTCTGAACGAGAGCCTCGCAAAATTCCTACAGTTAAAGCGCTTGTGACCCTACTCACAGACTCTGAACATTCATCTGATCTTGTAATCTTAGAAATCTGCCTCAAACTATTGGGAATATGATCAGAGTCTGATTTTAAAAATTCTTTCAAATCTCTTGAGACGATCACTATAGCCTAAGGTGAATTGGTCTCCATTTTTGCAACAGAAGTTAGAGCAGTCACCAATTTCACTAACTTCTTCTTCCTAACCACAGAAGGCAAGTGATAAAACCTGAATGCACCATAACCTGTAAAACCCAAAGCTGCAAGTGCAAAAACCCACTTTTTCCTTTTGTGGGTGTAATCCAAACTCTTGTTTACCTCTTGCAAATTTAGAGAATACATGAATGAACGCCACAGGGCTTGTAAATAGCTAAGCTTGTGAGGGTCTGCATGGAAATTAAAACTTTGAGGTTTCAGTTATGGAAGGCAATCGAAGAACTAATGGAATATGTTAGTAGTTCTTGAGGTTTAATTTACACACATGTACACATACATACATACATAACGATATAAGATATGTAGTTCAGAAATATATACAAGAACCTGTGAGAGAGTGAGAGAGGTGTGACGTAGAAGACGTTGCAGAGGAGGTCATTGCAGTCTCGTGTAAGACTGGAATGCAAGACACCCAAAACACAACAGAAGGGGGTGATGTGCACGTACTAGTGCTTGGGAGAGAGAGAGAGAGAGAGCACAAAATGATCAGAGCCACCCATAATGCTCATCCCTTAGAAATTTAGAAACTTTCCATATCAGACTGATGATGAAAAAAACAAAAATAAAAAATTTCCACTGAAGTTGTATTCTTCTTGTATTTGATCGATCAATTCGATTAAAAGATTATATCTAGGGGCATAACTTGGGTGAGTTGGACGCGTCGAGAGGTTTACCCTAATTCAATTTTACGTATAAAATTTTTTATCCTAACTTGACCCCAATCTGAGGTACTCAAGTTGAGTATTACCTAAGTTGAATTTAGGTGGGGTTGGGTTGAATTCAGACTTATTTTTTGTTTGAATTCGGGTTTAGTTTATTCAGCCGCAAAATCAACCTGTTCTTCTAAATTTAGTACATACTACAAAATATTCATTTGAAGTAACAACGATCAACTTCAATTAAATGTTTAACATAAAAATCATAGTATTTAAAAGTATAAAAAAATATACTAAACAAATATCAAATTATATTTTTATTAATATAAAGATATAATAACCAAATTAAGAGCATTTTCAACCATAACTCAATTTTTTACTCAAATTTGAGTAAAACGCTTAATTTGATATAAAAGGCTCTAATGAACAAACCTAATTTTAAAGAAGGAGAAATTCAAATTTAAAGAAGGACAAACCTAAATTTAAAAGAGAATAAAGATTATCATTAGATCTTTAAAAAAGGTTGAAATCTCATCATTAAATACTTGGGTATTGATTTGAGTAAAAAAAATGAGTCTCCTTTGATTTGGTATAAATTTGAGTAAAAGGTTGGAGCAAATTTTTTAAGCTTTTTTACTTAAATTTAAATTTAAGTCATTGTTGAAAATGCTCTAACATAATAGTCATAGTAGCCAAATTAAAATTAAAAAAAAAAAAAAGAGTTTATTGGACTCAATATTTAACCATAATATTTTGGTTGAATCTGATTTAATATTTGGGTTGAACTCATGTTGAATACGATTTATATATTTGGGTTGAACTTAGTAATCTGAGGCTTCAACTCAGGTGTTGTTCAAATTCAATTCAAATTGATGTTTTTCAACTCAGGTCTAATCTAAATTTTAAAAAATTTAACTCAAATTTTAAATTTTTTTAATTAGATTCGAGTTGGCTCAGTTCACCCCAATTGTATGCGGGAGATATCGTGTTCGAAAAGTGCTTGGAATGACCGTGCAGTCAATCCGGTGGGATTAATTTTCCACTGAAGCACGCCACTCAGTTACTGTGACACCGAGTCAACTCAAGAAACTTTTTTTTTTTATCACAAATTATTGAGGACATTCCAATAACACTTTCTATTTTACAGAGTATTTTTTTATTAAATTTTAAAATAGAGAGAAATATTTTAAACAATTCTAATAAACTCTATTCTAATAAAAAAAAGTCTTATAGTTAATAATATTTAATAAAGAATATATATGTCATCTTTTCATTTAATAAAAATATAGTAGAGTCCATTAGAGATGCTCTTATTGGTATTTTATATACGTAACTATAATGGCCTTTATTTGTTTTTGCATTGGGGTGGAGAGAGAGGGGGGGGGGGGTTAGTAACGTAAGGGCACGTGTGATTTCCTTGCAGAAAATTTCGACAATGGTGGAAACATTTTTCAAATTTCTTTTAAAAACGAGTTAATTGAATGGCACTAGCACATTAGCTTTGAAGATCTTTCCTTCTTTATTATTTCGTTAGAAAAAGGTGAAAAAAAATTAACTTTGAATGTTTCTATTGTCCCCATTTTTCAAAGCATCAGCCGAATCATCTCCAACTCATCATCTTCTGTTATTATATCATTTCATTTTTCCTGTAAACCAAGACCACAGTAGTCTAAAGTGACTCGGCCCAATGCTTCGGCCTACTATGCTCGACATGTTCAACTTTTTGTTATGGTATCTGACACTATATTGCTTGATAGCAATCCACAATGCCACACCATGCATCTCAATGCCCTCCAAGTCCATATCCAATATCACCTTAAACCATGAATGTCCGTCATTACGCGGATAAATAATCACAACTAACGTTGAAAGTATGTTTCACAAATAATGACCTGAACGGGTTCCTTCTCCATCAACTCCTTATCACCAGAAAAGTGGCTATTGGTCGCGAAGGGATTTGAGGCCGGTTTTCAATTCAATACATCAGCCTTCATATATCGACTATTAAGAGGTGCACTAGGTAATGACCCTACCTGACAGGCTTATAATATCATCCTAATACATGTATGTGCATAATACACACAATAATTGACACAACTTTTCTACAATGAGTTCATCAAATGCTATTTACAATGGAAATGTGCTAAATTTTCACTCTTTTCTGACATCAGCATTGCAGATACAATTGAATTTTTATTGCTAATAAGCATTCGATTATAATGATATTTATGTACAAACATAAAAATCCCAGTTTCTCGAAGCCTGGTCCGGACTGAAAACACCGTAACAAGCTATTCACAAAGGGAACTTAGACAGAAAATAAACCATAAATTATAAAGCCCCCCGAGTAACATCATGCCACATCAATGTCATCAACATCAAGCCAGTCATTAGATTCCTTGGTCTCAGAGTTATGGGCACTTACCTGCTCAGATCCAATGTGTTCAATAGTAACTGTGTTGATATCCTTAGCTGAATCGGGAGAGCTTCTGCTCAACTGAACCCAGTCTCGTGAGTCTTTTGTTGATGAATCAGAGGAATATGTTGCTTTCTTGTAACTTGTAGGAACATCATCATCCTCTTCAAGATCACTGAATGATACATCCTCTTCATTCTCAATAGGGATGGTGGTTCCACTGGGGCCAACAATTTCAGAGGTTTCTTCCTTTAACCAATCATCACCATCATCTTCATCAGCATGCTCCAAGACATTAGAGGAGGGACCAGAATGCAAGTTTTGATCTTTGTAAAGATTCACAGGCCCTTCCTCAATAACAGACTTGTCAACAATAGGAATTTCAGTACTTAGGACTGGATGCTTGTCTGTCTCAAAATCAGCTGCCACAGGGGAAGTGGCTGACTCAAGGATGGGCGTCTCAAAGGGCACAGAATCAGATTTTGTGGTGGATGGAACAGAAAGAGACTCTTCATGTGAAGATTTAGTAATGTCTTTCGAATCAGAAGTGACCTTTGCGGACCAGTTTTGTTCAGGCTTTGTCTTGGTACGGTTCTGCAACTCCTGAGTCAACGAGGCTCTAGCTTTCACTATCTGCTTGCACAATACATATGGCAATATCAAAGGTTAAATACTACAATAGAAAGATAGAAGTAGACACAACAGTAAATTCACTCACACACGCACACACTCGCATTAATATAACACTCCTATAATAAGTATCTAATCCCGGTACATTTTATTTAGGATATCACAGGCACAAATCTAGTAGCATACATGTAAAGTTATAAACAACAATAGAATTCGTTCTTGTAACAAGTCATTAAACACATCGACAGCATGGAAACCACAAAGGGGGAAAGGGGAAGCCAAACCGTTGACCCTGAGGTTAGTAGTTAACAAAAGAGAGTGGACATTTCGGAGATGTATGATCTTTTTCTCTGTCAGTATGAAACAAGGACATCATTTTCAAAGTGGAAAATGGAAATACACAGGGTTGAATGTTAAGCGATTCTTCACTGCATGGAAAAAGCAAATAAAAACCAAAAAGAAAGATAGAAAAAAGACAATAAATAAGCCCCACCACTCTGAGTGAGTTGGCCTTCAAATTACTCACAGGTTGCTACCTCCTCTTGACCAAGCTCCCTGCCATGTATAACTGCCAAAAAAACCGAACTAAACCCAGTATCTTCCCCCAAAATATAGGCATAGCAGCAAACACCAAGAGATCACTTCTTGCTTCTTCCAAAACCCTTGGAGTTACCCGAAATGAAACAGTCAACAAATCCCTCATAATTTCCTCAATAAAGTTTTCTAGGGGCCTGAAATCTTTATTTTGATGGCAATGTTATGTTCGTGCTGTTTTGGAGACTAACAGTATTTCCTCCAAAATCTCTAGATAACACCCCAAATCCTAAATTGTCCAAAGTATCGAGAAAGCACCATCGTAGCTAAGTGTTTTTCTTCCCTTGAGAGAAGCTTCCAAGCATAAGCAGACTAATTTTACAAGGTCAAGTAAATAAAAATCAACCTAATCCCCCATAATGGCATCCAAGAGGATCAAGACCATCTTTTTATTTCTTTCACACAAAGACATAGAAGTCAAGAAATGCACCATACCCCAAGGGTCATCGTCTGAATGAACCATTCTTGAATATCCTAAATCTTTCCAATCTAGATAATACATATCACAGCCAACAACGCAGAGTGTCAGACCTTAGCGTTCTCTCTCTTACCAGAATCTCCATAGGAACTTTCAAACCATACTGAATCTACCACAAAGCAACCAAACTGATTCCCACCAAGAGAAGTCTCTAGATAGGGATAAGCATTAAGGATGGGAGTGTGAAGAAGAAAGATACAGGCTTCATCACTGCTCTCACAAAAATCAGACATATTAAGTAAAAATAAAAAACACAAGATAGACCAAATAACATTGAGTTAACACAAAAACCAAATATTTGACGCGAGATATATATATGAGTGTGTGGTGAAAGCAAGAGACTGATTGAACATGAATAGTTTCTCCTACATTGCTTGGGTACATGAGATCTCCTATGCAATTTCATTATCACCAATGCGCTATAGAAAGCAATTCGCAATCCTCAAGCAAACTCCAGAATATCAACATAGAAATATACAAACATCTAAACATTTGAAAGTGTCTCCATGATCACATGAATACTCATGAACAAAAAGAAGGAACTATAGCAATGCATGAAGTGTAAGATAAATCCAAAAAATCAATCTCTTTTTCCTGCAGTTGATCATGTAAATTATGAAAACTAATGAACATAATCAGCAGAAATAAATTATGATCAACGAGCTCCAGCACAGTTGGTCACAAGGGTGTTCGCATATAGGTGGTCTAAATACAACTCTACCTCAATGTTCCATGGTGAACAAGGCCTAAGGGACTCGAGCAAATGCATCCTGTGCAGTAATAACAATTATTTCTCCATTTGTCTACAACAGATGGAGAAATAAATTAACAATGAAAAGTAGCATGATGCATATTTGTAATTCAGTCACCTACTTACCTTCAATTATTTTAGCACTACAACAGAAGTGCCCAAAGGAATCTATCCTGAACTAGAAAAGTGTGTCCCTCCCCAGGTTGGACATGCCTACTATGTATCCAGGTTAAATTAGGCATTGAACATCAAACATGTAACGTATGCACACAGCACTCCAGTGTTGTCATAGTAGTTCATGCAGTGAAATCCACTAGATAAGTAGTGTTTTCTCTATCAGAAAGAATAAATAATTATAAAAGATGAAAAGAGAGGTAGCAGTGTCCCCAGGGCCAATGATGTAGAAAATGGAAATTGTTTTAATTGAACAGGAAGAAAAGGAAAAAAAAAAAGACAGTATAGGATATTATTGTAAATGTAGCACAGGACCATTTTACCTGCGGCGTTGATAAAACTTCAGCATCCTGTCTATCAAGTCTAGGATGCAAAAGCACAAAATAAATCTTCCAGAAGCAACTCTCACTCATATAGCCTGGGCAAAGCTCAATCCTCAGAGCAGCTAATCTTGGTGCAAGACGTTCAACGGCTAAAGCATGCTCTTGCTGAGCATCAGACATATCAAACTCTGGAGTGAAATAGAAAAATCATAAGATGTTCACCGTCAGCATAATTCACATAGCAAATTCACATCAGCAAGCTGAGAGTGATCTCACTTCCTGTTGTAAAAGAAAAATAAACCCCCACATTGACTAACATTCTCTGCTCAATAAGTTTTAGAAATTTAGTACACATCATCCAGAACAGACTGGTGTAAAATAGGGATTCCATTTCCGAAGAACAGATCAATGGAGGGGGTTGGCGGGTGTTAAAAACTTGTGGTCAATGCAATCAAATCCATGATTGTGCTTCTCTCCCATCCCATCCCATTTCTAGGAGGGATGGGAGAGAAGAAAAAGCTTATAGTCCTCAACCTCCAGTCAGTTAACGGATTAGTACAAGGATAGACCAAAATAACTGGCTTCTAGTAAATAAGAGATGTGGACTAGATGGAGTCCATTTTTTCCTCCAGAATTTTTCAAGTTCTTGCTTTTTTCCAATCTTTGTAGCTAACAAAACAAGGATGACACCAGAAGTTATTTACTTGAATGCTTCGGGATTCAAGATAACTTGGCAAATGGGATGTTCATATAAAACCCCTCAGAGATTTCTCAAACTATAAATTGATTATAATTTTTCCTTCTGGTTTACCAAAAGCACAGATAGCCATTCAAGTATGAAATTTTTCTTCTTTAACTCAAGTCCACTCATATACGGAAAGTAATCTGAACTGCCACAACGACTATAAATCCATATTCATCTTAAATACATTAAACTGCTAATACTTGTAATTTAAACCCAATTAGTCTCAAAATTTAGCATAATAAACCAATAAACCACAAAGAGGTGGATTCTTATCTCTAAAATGGTCAACGTAGAACTGAAGCCAATAGTAAATCAAGAACCATAAAAAACGGATACGATGCAACCCAAAATGACAGCGTACCTTCATCATCTTCATCCTCAGGTAAAGGAAAATCCAACCAAGTTTCAGGATGCATCGCAATATCTCTAACAAAAGCCACCACTTCCTGAGTAACACCAGCAACACCACTCACCGAATCAAAATCCTCCTCCCCCTCCGATCCCAATTGAAGAAAATTGGACGCCATCTTTGTAATCTCAGACACCGCAATGTTATTCGACAGCTTCGATATCCCACTTCTAAACTTGCCTCCGATCTCCGCGAAGTCACTCCGTATTCCAGAAATCCCCGCCGGATCTGCATCGGATGGCTCCTGATGGTTCAAATTAGAGACCTGAGAGGGTTCGGATTGAGGTGGAGGAGCGAGAAACGAAGCAACGCCCCATAATTGGCGAGTTAGAGTTTTCGTGAGCACTGACAGGTCTTCTTTGACGCCTCGTGAAGGTGATGCCGGTGAATCGTCGATCAAGTTATGCTGTTCTTCGTCTTTCCGCTGATTGGCATTTTCGTTGGTCTCCGTTCGATTCTGATCTTCGTCATCGACGTCGTCGTCGAGTTTGAGAGTGTTTGCGATCGATCGGGCTAACCAAGACATGGTGAGATCGATTGGTCGTTGAGGTCACCGGCTATGAGATTTGGGGAAATCGTACCGAGAAGGGCAGGGCGTGACTTGCGAGTAAATTTTTATGTGTATGTCAGTACCTGTACTTGTTGTTTGTTGGATAGATAATGCCCTCAAACGACGCCGTTGAAGATTGAAGCACATGGATTAAGAACGTCGTCGTCTTAAGCTTTTTTTTTTATCCAAATGTTAGTGTACATATCGTAAATGGCCCCTATATTATGATTCTTCTCCGAAAAGCGTCCTATACTTTTAGTCGTTATTTGTAAAACTTACCCAAAGTTTTATATTATATGCTTTATGTCTTGTTTATCTGGTTGCTTTGAAATGTCGAATGAGTTAGATCTTCCTAATATTTCTATAGAAGATTATTGCTGTAAATATTTTCTTTTTTTGGATAAGTATATGGTTAAGCAAATATTTGATCACTTATTTACATTTCAGAAAATATTATTTAAACTTAATTTATTAATTTTATGTATTGAATTAATAGTGAATTTCAACTAATTTGGAGGTTTATTGTCAATCTAATAATTTTAATTTATTATTAATGGACTTTTGATCAAATAATATTCTTTTTTCCTTATGAAGAGAGGTGACGCCCTTTATTACCGAGTTCATTGTTTGTCACCATATAATTCAGTTTTATACAATTCTCATACATTCTTTAGTAATCTTATCGAATGTGTGGGTTCACAACATAGAGAGAAATGTTGATTGTTGTCTACACTAAACGCATCCCATACAATCGTTTTTTTTCTTTAGTGGCAAATTTACTAAACAGCAACAAAAAAAAAAATTATGTTCATTAAAAACGAAACAGTAAAATACGCAAGGCTAGTGTTTGATAATGTCATTAAAATAAATTTTGTTTCCACACAGGTGCTAATGAAAAATCTTTATATTTGTCTTTCATGATACAATAATTTTCACGTACGCAAACAACATTTCAATCTTTTATCTCAACGACCCAGAATGTGTTTTGTACTCTTTGAAATGAACACTTCTAATGACAAAGATAATGAATGTAATAACTCTCTTAATCACGAGATTTGTAAGTTATGCAAGTGCAGAGTGTTAATGAATTTAAATTATTTATAAATGCATAAGTGACTATTCGGAATAACCATCATTGACCAATACAACTCATAAGACACCGTGCAACCTAGAAGGCTTCATTAATGTCTGCTCATTCATGAACTGGAACAAAATTCAATTTCAGATTGAAGGAAAATTTAAATTTAAATTTAAACCCGTGCGAATTTTGAATTCCAATAGGTATAAATTAAAATTTGGGTTAAGAAATTAAAGATCCTTTTAGTAAATATTTTCTCTAAAAACATAAGGTTGAATTTGAAACACATTTACACCCGAGCCGGCAGCAGATCTCAAAACAACAAAGCGCATACGCTTGTGTGATCAAACTCAAGTCTATCTAGGTCTCGTTCCACCCATAATAGTGGAGTGTCCCTTGGAGTCTAACTCATAGAGTAAACTTGAGATAAAATGCTCATCAAATCATGGCCGATTAATGTGATATTGATGTCAAATCTCATATTACGAAACATTTATTTATATATTTTAAGACAGTGACTTTAAAGTCAATTTTTTCATTCACTTCTTACTCGGTTTGAGTAAGTGAATATATTATATTATTTTCTTCACAGAGTAGAATACGAAGCTATAAAAAATTACTCAAAACGATGAGTGAGTCTCATTTTAATTTAGATTCAAAGTCGATAAAAAAATCCATTTTTGTCTAACAATATTTTGACACATTGAATATTTTCTCCCAAAACGAGTGAGAAAAGGAAAACGAAGGAAATACTAATTGTTTAAATTTGATTAAAAAAGGAAGAAAAAAATGGATTAAATAATATAACGGTGTAATAATGATATTTTTTGTCCCATTTTTATTTATTTAATATTCAAGATCAAGGGCTACATCATTTCAATTACCCGGTAAAAAAATACTATTTAAACTTAATTTGAAGACTTAATTCAATATAATCGTTGAATTAGTTGCAAGTTTCAAAAACATATGAAACTCATTCTCAATCCAATAATTATATTGAATTAAATCTTCAAATTAGACTTCAAGATTATATCCACATAACATTCCTCTTATACATTTTATCACGTACCAATATAGCATTAATCGAATCATGAAAGACCTAAATAAACTCTGCCTCGCTCTAAAGAGGTAGAGGATAGAGTTCCAGGACTCATAAGAAGGGAGGAGGAGGGCCACCATGCAAGAGAATATGGCGGCGGACTGAACCCGACTGGACTCAGAGTCGGTGCTCCAAAACTCTCCGATAACTTCCAGCTTTCCTCATCTTGTGCTTCGGTCGTCAATTCAGGAAAGGTTGCCTGCAACGGAGATTTACTGGGAGATGGAAAGAGCTCCAGAGGTGCTCCAATGTTATCACGGTCGTCAGAAGATGCACTTGCCGAAAGATTCAGTGGCGGTGGCACCACCACCTCATGGAGATGCCGTGGCTGGAACTCCGGTGCTCCGGTGAGCTTCTGAACGACTTCCTTGAAGTTAATAGGGTCCACCTTGTAGACTTTTGGCGGTGTTGGTGGCAGTGGCGCAATCGGTTGCTTCATTGGCTTTCCTGAAAGCTTACGAACTGAATGCAATGAGGATCGAAAACCGGTGGGTGGTTTGGCTGGTGGAATTGAAGAAGAAGATGATAAAGAGACGTATGAGTTTGATGATTCCATGAAAACTTTGAGCTGTATAATTCTGATAATATGTAAGAAACTACTCAAACAAGAGTTTATAAGAATAATTTATATTACATTATCGTCAACTCTTTGTGCATATATATAGTGTTGGAAGAAAGAGTAGTAAATAAGGAGGGAGAAGGAGGACAACGACGGATCGAAGAAACCGTTGGAGTGGCTCAGACGCCAGAAGGTAATAACCCTTTGGCCAGCCAAGTGGTAACACTAGTCAAATTAGTAAACCCCATACGAAATTAATACGTTTTAAGTTTAAATTTTTCAATTTTTTTTTGATTAAATTATAAGAGAAATTGTCCCTCGTAAATATCTTAATTTTAGTATAAATGAACTTATTTTTGACTAAATTAAAAAAGAGATTAGTCAAATGAGCAATACTATACAGATTTAAAAATTTGACTTAATAATACGATTGTTATGTTTGTCATTGATTTAGTTATGAGTCTTAATATTTATTAGAACTAGTATCGATTCAACGATAGTAATTTATTAAATCAAGTTTTTAAATTTATTTAATATTTTTTTTATTTAAAGTACTTATAAACTAATCGGTACAATGACGTTTCTAACAAATAGTGGGTGGCTGAACCATGGAAATTGAAATGTTAGTTTGTCCTCTGTGTCGGCGCGGTGGCGCATTTGATGAGGTAACTAATATGGTCGGTTGCAAAAACTTTGACTATGTTTCTCCGATGTAGTTTTCCATACACAGTATGCATATTGCAGCATACACAACGTATCATCAAGTGGGAGTGAAAGTGTAATAAAAAGAACTTAAATATCTTTTGCTCACTATCTATAAATAATTATGGTTTTATTGCCAAGTATAAAATTCCAATTCAAAAAGTGAATAACTAAACTTATACTCAAGTAATTGCAGGCCATATACTAATATTTCTTATATATATATATATATATATATATATATATATATATATATATATATATATATATGTGTGTGTGGGGTGCAACTTTTATTCAAAATTTGAGTTCAATTTTAAATTAAACTTTCTACAGAAAAACTCGAGCAAAAATCTATATTAATTTATCAATCGGATTGGGCATCATGTTAAAACTCAATTTTACATACCATCCTCGCAAAATCGACAGAGCTATTCATTGGGTCGTAAAGCCCAAATTTACACAGTTGTTGTCAAATAATTGGACCATAAATCCATTAAGAGCATCTTCGATAACAAAAATTATTTTAATTATTTAAAAAATAATATTTTTTATTTTATCTACTTATTTTTTCAATACACACTCTAACAGATTTTTTATACTTTTAACTACTCTTTTTAAATATTATTTATCATTCCTTTTGTATTATTTTTTTTAATAGTAAAAGGGAGAAAGAAAAAGAATGGAAGAAAAGAGACGAAAAAAGAGAAAATATTATAAAAAAATTTTACATATCGCTACAATGATACTCTATATTTTAGAGTATCACTTTAATAAAATATTATTTTATATGTTTTAAATATAATCTGTTGGAATGGATTTTTTGGGCTAAATAACTAAAATGAAGGTTTTATGTGTTTTAAATCATCTCATAGAGATATTCTAAGAGGAAAAAATATTAGGTGTAATTGATTCACTATAACTTTAAGATTGATTTTTGGCCCATAAAACATTAGAATTTGCACTCAATTCTATAGTTTTGAAAAAATCACATTATAATGTCACGAAATTAGATCAAATTTTTATGTCTAAAAAACATCACTCTTATAATAACTACCTTGTTATGTCATTTAATAACCATCCAACTATAATTCATCTTATTCATATATAAATTTATAATATAAAATAGGATGGTTTCAACAAACAAATTCAACAGTTTCAAATCATTTCATCCAATGGTTAAAAAATTACTTTCCCCCCCCCTTAATAATCCCCCCAATCGGTCAACAATTATGGTTGATCTTAAAACACATCTTACGATCCCAAATTCATTTATTTAACGGTCGATAAACTACCATTTTTTTCTTAATATTTTTTTTTCAATCGGTCAACGATTACGACTGATCTTGAAACACATGATTTTTTTTGACATAATAATTAAATGAGTCAAAATTTTCATTAATATCATCTATTTTGTGTAATATTTTGAATTTTTATAAGACACAATGATAACATTTTAATTATAAAAAACTTATCAAGGGTGCTACTTAACACATTTATATTGAATATAACTAATTTTTAATTTTATTTATTTAATTAATTATCTCAAACTAACATGTCCTACACATATTTTAAATTAAAAGTTCAATACTATTTTTTTTTATCTTAAGAAAACTCA